TAATATACGGACATGCTTACAAGTTGTAACTATACAGAGATTATTTTTTTTTGTTTGTTTTGTTTTTACAGTCATTACAACAACAATTACAAAAAAAATTAACTATGATGATGACAACGCCGATAGAACCATAGCGGCATCAAGTTGGTTCTGGGGCCTGGAAAAAAATGACACAGAAAAAAATACGTATTTAATAAGATTTCTAGTCATATGGGGCTGGCACGGTATTTTTAACTGTAGGTAGCGCTGGTTTTGTTGTTGTTGTTGTTATGGGTTTAAAAATAGGTTTCTAAATATATAAAGTTTTCGGAGTGACTTCCGCAAATTTATTTAGCTACGAATATCCCCGTGGTTTTGCTCAGCAGACGAGCAATTGATTTCAGTGGCTGCGAGGCCAAGCTCAGAGCGGCAAGGTTCAACCCCTTCAGGTCTTCTACTCGCTGGGGCTTATTTTAGCTTTTATTATTATTGTTATTATTATTATAGCCGGTTCTGTCCCGCCGCCTTTGCGCTGCTGCGTTTCTCCGCACCCTTTCTCCGGTGCTAGGGGAGGCGGGCACCGGCCGCCCAGGGGCGCACCCCCCGGCCCCAAGCACAGGAGCCTCGGCCCCGGACGCGGCTCGGCCGGCCCGCGGGCATCGCTCCCGAGGAGCGGACGGCAAAGGAAAGAAAAACACCGTATCGGAATAACCCACCACACACGCAGAAGAAGGACAAGAAACCGCTCTGGGAGAAGAACTAAAGACGCGGAGAAAATAAGCTAACCGTTTAGAACTCCCTCTACATATCCTTAGAAGACAGAGGAAGCAATCCCTTACCACCTCTGCACTGGCTGGAAAGCTGTCTTTATTAACTTTATCTCTACTTCCAAGGCACTACATCGATCTAAAAAAAAAAAAAAAAAACGGAGGAGAAAAGAAAAAAACACACAGAAAAAAAAAAGGTGTTCCTTTACAATCCCCATTTTAAATCCCCATTTTATTCACTCCTATCCCTGAATTAAGCCTCTAGACTTAAGATCTTCTCGGCAAGTTGCAAATACGACAAAGCGACTGCTTTGCTGCAGGAGTGACCGTCAAAGAGAACCCGAACCGACCCCGGAGCAAGCCTTGCGGCCCGGTCCTTCCGCAAAGACGATTTGAGCAGCAACAACAACAGCAACAAAAGTTACATCCGTCGGAGGAAGGTAACGCCGGGGGTGTGAGACTAACCTGGCGGAGGCCCCCCCTTCGCCGCCGCTGCACCAGGGGGCCCCGCGGCTGCCCGCCCTCCGCCACCTGCGCCCCGACGGCTGCGCCGGGCAGGGGCCACCGTGAGAAACCGGCAGGGACTTCCGCGCCGCTCCGCGCAGCACCGCCGAGCCCCTCGCGGTGGCTGCCGGCCCGAACCCGTCCCCGGCGCGTCCCTCAGCGGTCACCTGCTCCGGCGGGCTCCGCGCTCTGCGCCTGGGCCGCGGGCCGCGGGAAGGTGGCGGCGGGGGGAGCGGCGGGAGCTGCCCCCAGCCCCAGGAGGTGGGGGGTGTTCAGTAAGGCCAGCGGGTGGGGGGCCGGGTGGTGATGGTGGTGGTGGGCCGGGAAGGCGCGGTTGGTCCAGTTGGAGAACTTGCTCAGGGGGCAGGAGGAGACGAGTCTGTGGGGCGGCGGTGGGGGGGGCAGCGGCAGCGGGGCGGCTGCGGGAGGGGAGCCGCCGCCGGGAGACTTGCGGGGGTTGTCCGGGCTGGTGGCCGTCTCAGCCAGCGACCAGATCTTGGGCTTCGGCAGGGTACCGGCCAAAGCGCCGTCCGTCGGGGAGGAGGCGGCGGAGGAAGAGGCAGAGGAGGGGGGCGAGAGCTGGTGGTGCGGAGGCTGCAGGGGCGGCTTGAGGGGCTCCAGGGCGGCGGCGGGGAGCTCGCACTTGTGGTGGTGATGATGATGGTGGTGGAGGTGGTGGTGGTGGAGATGATGCGGCTCCCCCTCGGCGGCCTTGACGTAGCGCTCCTCGGAGCCGGGCAGGTCCTCGAAGCCCTCGGAGCCCTCCGAGTCGGTCTTGGAATCGGAGTGCAGGAGGTCGGCGTCCTGCAGCTCGTCCTCCAGCTCGTCCTTGTTGCTCTCAATGTTCTCGGTGTCGATGTTCTCCAGGTCGATCTCTTCCTCGTCCTCCCGCTTGTCCTCTTCCCCCTCGTGATCGCTCCCGTAGGAGTTGCCCTCCTCGTCCGTCCTGCTTCGGGGGGCCCAGGTCATTTTGTTCTCCTTTTTGAGCCGCCGCCGTGCGTTGGCGAACCAGGTGGAGACCTGGGTGAGGGTCATTTTGGTGATGATGGCCAGCATGATCTTCTCGCCCTTGGTGGGGTAGGGGTTTTTCCGGTGCTCGTTGAGCCAGGCCTTGAGGGTGCTGGTGCTCTCCCGGGTGGCATTCTTGGGCCGCGACGGGTCCCCGAACTGGTACTGCCCGTAGGGGTAGAAGGCGGGGTGGTGGTGGGGGAAAGCGGCGTGCTGCACACCCGGGCTCTCCTTCAGCTCGTACTGGGCGCCCTGCAGCAAGAGGGAAGGGGGCGGCCCAGATAAGACGGTGCTTTGGGCCCGGCCCGGGGCCCCTCCATCCCGCCGCCGTTACGGGTAGCGCGGCGGCCAGGCCGAGCTGCCTCCCACACCGCGGAACTCCCCGGCCCCGCTGCGGCAGCCAGGGCCCCGCCGGCTACGCCGCGGCCGAGGCGCGGAGCCCGTAGGGAAGAACCGGCTCCCCAGGTGCGTGTGCGCAGCGGGGCCGCCGGCATCCGGGGCCGGTCACCGCAGCCGTCAAGCCCTGCGGGCGGAGGAGGGGGCGCAGGGTCGCTGCTCCGGCCCTGCCCCTCTTCGGCCGCGCTCCCGGGGTCTGGTAGCGATAAAGCCCCATCTCCCCTGACAGCCCTCCCGGCGGCCCCCTGGACCTATCCCCAGCGTGAACCGTGCCAGGGCTGGCCCCGACCGGAGCGTCCCGGGGAGCGAGCGGCGAGCCCCTTGGGGGGCCTCTTACCAGCTGGGGGAAGATGGGCAGCTCGGCGGCGTAGGGCAGGAACGCTCCGTAGCTCTGGGCGGCAGCAGCGGCGGCGGCGTAGGGCGCGCTGTACATGGAGGAGAGCACGTTGGAGAGGGTCCCGGACGGGGCCAGCTCGGCGCCGCCGCGGGAGCCGCCGCTCCCCTGGCGCTCTGCTGGGTAAATCGGCCTGATGTACTGGTAGCCCAGCTGGGGGAAAGACATGATGTGGGAACGGGGGCAGGGGAGGGGGGAAAGGAGGAGGGGGGAAGAAGAGAGGAAGAAGGGAAAGAAAAGGGAGAAAGTAGCAGGGCCGGCAGCGGAGGAGGGAGCCGGGTCGTTTGCCCTCGCCGGCCGCCGACACTTTCAGCGCCTCCCGCAAACTCCGGCGGACATGGAGGGGGGAACCAGGGATGCGCGGAGGCCGCGGGCTCCCTCCTGCCTTCGGCCGCCGCGGTAAACGATCCGATCGCTTCTTTCTTCTCTCAGTTTTCCTATTGATCTGAGTGGACCCAGGTCAGGTCCTAACAGATTGCCTGAGATTATTGGGACTCTGGGCTCTGATTGACGTTTCTAGTCTCTCACAAGCCCCTCCTATTTCTTTTAAGTCTCTCTCTCCCTCTGCCTCCCTCTCTCTCTCATGCCCAGAGCTCGCTCTCGCCGGGTTTGTCACTAGCTGCTGCCCCCCCCCCCCTTTTTTTTTTTCCCCTAAATCTGTTTACTGACGTCGCGATCTTTTATTTGAGTTGCTTTCAAATCTCGTTTTAGCGATCGCCAATCAGTTGTGTGTTTTACAAAGGTTTAACCCTGCCTCATGGTATTCTAATTATATAGAGATAGATTTAGATATAATTTCGTTCGTGGGGGGGGCCCCCCCTCCGCGAGAGAGTAGGAAGCCAGGGTGTCAGTTGTGAACGGCACAGGGGAGGAACAGGAAAAAGTTGTGACATTTAAAAATAAACCCCCTCTCTCTCTAGTCCCCCTGCTCAGGTTTTCAAATTTACAGCCTTTCCTTGGCCGGGTTCCTTTTGTTTTCTTTATTAAGATATTCCCTCCTATCCTTCCCCCTGTCCGGCCCTGGCGAGGGTTACGTCTCCTGATACAGATTTAGAAGTCTATTAGATTTTTCTCAAAAAATTTGCATTTCCAGAGCTACCCTGAAAAGTTTCCTAACGTACTGAATCTTTAAGGAGCTCTCTACGTTTTGTCTGGGCTAACAGTGGGCAGATACAGTGGAAAAGCTAAGTTAATTTTCCTCCTAATAAGGGACTTCAAAGAGTTGTAGGTCACAATTTTACATCAAAGGCAGAAAAGAAGGCAAATTAAAATCTTAACAAAGGAGAGACGGGAGCAGCCCTCTGGGCCATTAGTAAATAAGTGGTGTGAAAAAAGGGACAATGACAGGCACTGGAATTAAACTCATTAACACCTTTTTGTCTTGGTGCGAAATCTCTAATTAGGAAATTTATGATCATTTTGCTTATTCCCTCTGTTCTGAACCACTACAAGGCATAGAAAGAAGTACCTGGTACGTGCAACACTTGCAAAGGGAGCAGTGGCACAGGCTTCTAAGGAGCTATTGGGAAGAAGTCAAGATACGTTTTAATTACCGAATAAGATTTTCTTTTTTTAACGATCAACACCTTTTAAATTTGTTTATTTTCTGCCCTCCCCCCCTTCTTTTCTTTTCTTTTCTTTTCTTTTCTTTTCTTTTCTTTTCTTTTCTTTTCTTTTCTTTTCTTTTCTTTTCTTTTCTTTTCTTTTCTTTTCTTTTCTTTTCTTTTCTTTTCTTTTCTTCTTCTCTTCTCTTCTCTTCTCTTCTCTTCTCTTCTCTTCTCTTCTCTTCTTTTCTCTTCTCTTCTTCTCTTTTTTCTTTTCTTCTCTTCTCTTTTCTTTTTTCTTCTCTTCTCTTTTCTTTTTTTCTTCTCTTCTCTTTTCTTTTTTTCTTTTTTTCTTTTCCTTTCTCCTTTTCTTTTTTTCCTTCGCTTTTTCGCCCCCCCCTCCTTTTCCTGAAACCAGCGTATGAGTTGCAATTTAGCCTTTTAAGAGTAGTTAAAACCCAGTGCAGTCACCGCGCGCCAGTGGCAAACACGGGAGCTCCCTGTTCCACTCCCGCAGCTGTCCGGACCGTGAGGAGTTTAAGCAACCTGCGACTGCGGGTAGGGCTCAGGGGCCCTGAGCCTGCCACCCTTATCTGCTCCTTCAAACACCTCCTGCTTTAACACAAAATAAATTTTGAAGGGTCTTTGGAGAAGTTGAGGCTGGACAAGCCTCATTCACCATATTCCCCTCTCTTCCTAAATACTCTCTGGATTTATTGCCTTTAAAATGTGATTTAGGTACAATATAACCACTGTGCCCACAGTATGGATTTTTATAACTACATTTCTTTAAAAATGAAATTCATGTCAGATTATGCAGTTAAAGAAATTGACCTTGATAGCTTCCTATAATAAAACTGTATCAGCTTGTAATAAATGCGGATTACGGCAAAGCAAGATCCAGAATTAAAATTCCCTGAATCAATATATGAAAATCTGTAGGAAACATCTCTAATCGTATTAAGTTCATCTTTATAGCATTTCCTATCTGCTAATCTAGTGCAAAAACAACTCTGGGTTGGAAGAATTTATTTTTCTTATTAAATGTCTCTGCTTTTGATAGTCTAATGCACAGGGCGTAACAATATTAAATTCAGTTATAAGTGTATTTCTTTTTAATTCGAAGGAAAACAGCGAGAGAACCCCACGTCCTGTTTTCCTTCAGAGGTTGCTGTGTGCAGCGACCGGCGGGGCGGGGGCTGCCACCGAGGGACCAAAACTTGGACAAATACGTGTCCGGGGGGCAAATGGGGAGAATACGAAAAATTGGGTAAATCAGTCGCCTTTTGACGCTGTCGCGCTCGCCTTGCTGGTGTTAGAGCCAGGCTGAACCCCCCACGGGTGGGCAGTGCGGCCCACGCGTTTCCCACATCACCGACCCCGTGTTTCTGGGGTTGCAGGCTTGGCACGGAGTGGCAAAGCTGGCGGGGTTGTTTTGTGGTTTCTCAGCAGCAGCACAATCAATACGAGTTTGTTCCCGGGCGGTGGCGGGCAGCAAGCCGGGATCCCGGGGGACAGCCTGGAGAGAGGCACGGGAGAGGAGAAATTTATGGGTGAGAATGGGTCCAGGTCAGGGGGAGGGTGAAGAATGGTTTATTAATGAGCGAGAAACGGGTAAGAAACGTAGCCCTACCGAATGGAAGGGAGGAAAGATCTACAGGGCTGCAGTTCTTGGCTGGGGGAGTGGGAAGAGGAGGGAATAAAAAAAAATAACAAAAAAAAAAAAAAAAAAAAAAAAAAAAAAAAAAAAAGCGGAGAAAACAGCAAACAGCGGGGAGAGAGGGAGGAGAGCAGAGGAGACAGCTTCCCGGGGCAGGGCGGGGGTTGGAACCATGTCCACGGCGAGAAGCGCCGCTCACTTTCGGCAGCGGCTTGTGCGAGGGTGGCTGTGGGGACAGGCCCCTCGGAGCTGGGCAGCAGGCGAGGAGCTGGGCCAGGCTGCACCGTGCGAATGGCGGCGGGAGTGGGAGCAAAGCCCCTTTCCCTCTGACGGAGAGAGCAGGGGAAAGAGATTTGTCGTGCCGGAGTCGAAAGGGTGTGAGGTGGAGAGGCTGGAGCCGGCTCATCCCGAGGGCCGGGAGAGCAGAGCAGGGCCCGAAGACCGCCCCCCTCCCCCGGAGACCCAGGGCGGCAGAGCGCTCCTTGGCCGGACAGACACGTGTCTTCTGGCCGGGACCTGTCAAAGCCGGGAGAGTGGCTCCTGATTTATTACCCCAAACACACACCCCCCCCCGTCGCCCGCCCGTCAGCCCTCCCCCCTGCCTCGCCTCCCTCCTCTCCCGGCTGGCTCACACAGTGCCGAGCTCAAACCAAACCTCTCTCTGGCTGCAGCTTTCCTAAGTCCGCAGCCGGCTCCTGGGCCAGCCCCGCCGACAGGAGTGGCCGGGCCGGACACTGCCCGACCGGTGCCCGGGACCCCGCCTCGGTACTCTCCGCTCACGCCGCTCCCCACTCCTCCAGGTCACTGTGGCGGAGGAGAGCGGGACAGGCCCCGGGAGGTGGCCGCGTCCCGGTGTGTCTCACTGTGCTGCGGGGCCCGGCTGTGGAGTCGGAGGGTGTTGCTGGGAGCGGCCGGGGAGCTGCCGGTGGCGCGGACAGTGTCCTGCGGGGTGAGGGGTGTCGGGACCAGGGTGGCAGCTGCGGCGTGGGACAGCACACCGGGAACGGGGAAAGGGGAAGACACGTGGGGTTAGGAGGAGAAGGGCCGCAGTTAAAAAAGAGTTAAAAAAAAAAAAAAAAGAGGGAGAGATCAAAGCGCTGGGTAAAAGACTCTTCAAATTACACGTTTGAAGCTTTTCCATAATTTCAAGGCGACAGATAGATAACAAGCTGCACATTCCTTATCACATATGGAATCAATCTGAAAGGAGTCTCTTGATCAGAATCTGGTAATTGCAGTGACATATGATTTGGAAAGAAAACACAATTAATGACCCTTCATGTTAAGGCTTTGGGACGAGGCCACTGACAGTTCGCGCTCTGCAGCCACCGTCAACTTTTTATTCTTTTTTTTTTTCTTTAATTATTATTATTAGTGCTTAACTATTGAAGGGCGACATTATCGAGCCTCGGCGACTGTTTTGTCTCCGTTCCTTCTGCAAGGTTTCTTCAGAAGGGGGAGGAGAAGAGAAGGGGACTGGAGGGCGTGGGTGCCTTTCCTTCAAGGTTTGGGGAGCTAAAATGATTTAGTACCTTGTCTGTAAATCTAATGACCTAAGGTGAGAAAAAATACTTCATCTTTTATTATTACCATTTGTGGTGAGCGTTACCAGGAAACAGCAGAGCCCGTTTGAAATGGTAAATATATGTATCCATTTAAAACCCATTATTGCAGAGATTTGTCCAAAGTGAAATAAAGCGAACCATGCCCAATCCCGTTTTCTAGCGCCCTCTGCCCATGGATCTGATGCCCCTTCCCGGGCGCTGGAACCGCTGTGGAAATCCTGGGTGATGGGGGAGGCCGCGGTGGGTGCTTCGGGGCTGTTCCTGTGACACGCGTCCTGTGATGTTAGGAGAGGAGGGAGCGACGTTTTTAAAAGCTTTACCCTTGTCATTAAAAAGGTAATGGCTTTGGTTTAGAAGGGAGAGGGAGAGGTTCATTTGAAGGTTATAAAGCATACACTTTAATAGGATCGAAGTGAAATTAGTTAATAAGAAAATGCTGGCCAGGAGCTCTCCGGGCTTTTAAGTGCTCTCCAGGCCATTTAGGGAAATTGAATAAGAACAGACTCCGTTACCTGCAGCTCCAACTATTATCTCCAGTTCTGCTTAGAGGTGAGAAGGGAAAAATAGTGCCTGAGAGACCTGAAGTCCCATACAAATCCTGCCAGCCAATTTCCTTGAGAAATAATGTCCCTTTTCTGCTCTCAACCCTGTTTTCCTCCTTCTTCTTCCTCTTTTAAGCAGACCAGACTGCACTGTGTGTACCACAAGGGGGTAAGCAAAGGTAAGGGGCCATCAGCAGATGCTCAAGACTCCGGGGGCAGCTCTGAAGAGCAGCCTTCTCCCTGCCTGGGCAACGCTGGCCTCTTGGTGTTGTTTTTTTTCCTTTCATTAATCTGAATCCTTTTCCCCCACCATCACCACCATTGTGGTGCTTTGCTGATTTGCTTTCGGACCGTTGCCAATAGGTCAGTATATTGTGTTACATAACTTCCTATCTACTCCCTTTCTCCTTCCCTTTAAACTTTATAGTTTTTAGAGGTGTTAATAAAACCTTTCCTTTGGTAAATCGTTCATTAGAAACCCCACCGAAACCTGGAAATACTTCAGAAAAAAAAAAAAAAAAAAAGCAGCGCTCAGGAATGAGAGGTTGGGAGAAGGCTTTTGTCCAAAAAACACATAATTGCTGTGAATCTTAGGAAACATTAATCTTTATAGGAATTTGTGATTCATATCTGTGGTTTGACCGTTTAGTTGATTTACAATCTGTTAGTGCAATTCACTAATTTTATGCCAATATATTCTATGCACCCGGTTAGACTTTCCACCGCCCCTCGGAACGAGTGGCTTTTGTGCCCTGCGGGTGTCAGCGTGGCCCTCAGCCCGGCTCCGCAGGGATCTTCCCCGCGCTCCGCAGCAGCGGGAAGTGGACTCAAAGTCCTCACAACTCTGGGAAATTTCCCCTCACCATTTCCGTCACACCTTTCCCAGCCGGCAACTTCGGCGCTTATCGACCGGGCGGCCCCCTTACACCCCGCCCAGAGCCTCCTCCTTCCTCCGCTGCTGCGGGATGCACGCTGCTCCCACACCGGCTCCGACGGGAGGGCTGCAGCCTTTGTAAGATGAAGATACCCCGGGTTCCTCCAGCTTTACCAGTGGGATAAACGCAGACGGTTCCCCTGCCGCTGCTCCGTCCCCGGGTACGCAGCAGCTCCCCGCAGGGGCTCCCGCCGCCCTGGCCACTGACCTTCCCCCCCCGGGCCTTCCCCCCCGGGATGGGGCCTCTTCGGCTTCCCAGTGGGTTTCCCCCCGACCCTCATCCCTTGTCACCAGACCGCCGGGAGGGGCTCTTCCTCAGGGAAGGGAACGGTGCGTTTGCCGTGGGGGGCCTGGACGTGTCGGGGAACGCAACCCGAGGCACGATACTGCTGCATGCATGGAGCAAAGCGGAGCATTCCCCGGGTGGGATGTTCCCGCAGTCCCTTGCAGCCGCCTGGGAGCGCCTGGGATGAGGACAGACTCGTGTAAATTTGTAACTGGGCTTATTAGCTGGAGGGGAAAACACGAGCAGAGAAAAGGAGCATCAGCTTCACTGAAGAGAACACTGCGCGGAGTCTGATTCTGTGACACAATCATTAATTACTACAGCATTAATTACTATTTTTCCAAAACAGTCCCTGCCCAGAAGAGCTTGCAGCCCACATGTGCTGTGTAATGATACTCTGATCTAGAAACGATTCCCCCATTAGGTCCCAGGTAGCGTTTACAAATGGCAACACCCACAATATCAAAGCCCGTCATCTTGCAGCCTGAGATTTTCTGTCCCATCGGCCTGGGTAGGATGATTCTGACACACATAAAATACATTTAAATATCAAAGTCTTTGTTCACGTTCATATTCCGCCAAACTTTTAGATCGCCATGGTATAACTACTTTATTTGCTCTCCATCCCACGGATGCTGCCTTATATCAGTAACAAACAAGCATTGATTTTATGGTAAAGTCACTTTGGGATGGGAATGAGTAACTCCAGGCAGTGCTATCACTGTATTACATGGAAATGGCCCAGGTAACAAGATGAACATTGATTCAGCATTATGTTTGATCAATAATGAAATAAGTAACTTCAGGGCCAAATTAAAATGCAAGCTGGCTTAACGCTGCCAGCTTCTGGGCTAAGTGACAAGGCTAATTCAGCA